CTTTGAGTGCCAATGCCGTTTCTTCAACCATAAACCGTTGGTGGAACCTCCGGCGGGGTGACGTGCATATGTTGGCTACTTAGGCGGCGTTTGTGTAGCGGCCGCGGTGTGGTAGCTGCAGCTGTCGGCGCAGCTGCGCCTAAAATGGGCTTCATAACGCGGAGGGACCACTGACCACGTTTTTGGTCGAAGCCTTGAGCACATGCGAATGCTTAGGCTTCGTAGTTTGGTGTGATTGTTCCTTGTATTGACGTGTTGGGAAGTGGTGGTTGTAGTGAAAAAACCAATACCAGCGATGCACCATCAGCAACAACCTATCGAAAGAGCATTGGAAATGATGGAAATCGAACATTTCAATAAAGCTGCTGGCTGGGCTACTTGGTTCAGCATACTTGTAGTATTATTATTTTTTTTGGGGGGGAGGGGGTTTAACGTCCCAGAACCACCATATGATCATGAGAATCTCGGCCGCCGCAGCCGGCATTCGATTCCGTGACCTGCGGATCAGCAGCCGCGCGCCTTATAGCACTAGACCACCGTAGCGGATCCATACTTGTGGTAGTTCCGCTTCTTTGCATCGGTGTTCTTCATCTTTTTCTACTGTTTCTTTACTTTTTATTGAGCTGTTTATAAGAGCCTTCTTGTCAATCAAATCTCGTTTAGAAGTCAGCGCTTTTCCAGTCTAATTGCTGTCCGCCGTGCACATGTGTTATTTTCGCGCTGTTAACCTTAAGCACGAGCAACTCGTTATATGATAAGAAGTGAATGGTTGCTAGGTAAACAAACGAAGGACGCTTGAGAATAACGTATGGGAATAGATTAACAACACATTGCAGAAAACGCGCGTGGATCAGTGTGGATGAATTTGTCACCACTGTGTCGTATACAAATGACATTATCAGTGACCACGATAAACGACACCACTCAGTTTCCTGTTTTTTTTTTTCATCGCTTTTAACACTAACGTATTAATGAGGGTGTGAGGAATAAGGGAGGGACACAATGTCGCGAGTTCGATTTCTGATCTCAATACTTACTGCTCACTGACTGCGGCAGAACACTTTATAGGTCATTTTTTTCACGTTTTCTTGTCTGCGCACATTTAACGCCTGGGCGTAACGCAATTGGAACAATGTGCGGAACAGTTTCTGTGGGACGAAAGTTGCTGCACATATTGCATACGTGTACCATAAGCAACGTAGTAATAACGATGTATAATGGACTTTCTCACTGAAGTTTTCGAAATGAATATTTTGTAAGAACAATATGATGAGAAAGTTGTGTGGCACATATGCAGCCGCACATATTGTGCCCCTTTACAACGCTTGTTCGCAGTGTAAATTCTGCGACAATATGTGCAACAGTTCGCTTTGTAAAAGATCTCGATTGACAACTTTACTAAAGGAGTTTCATTGCTAAAGCACTCAGTAAGCAAATTGAGCTTTGTGAAGATCACGACAAAAACGTTGTGAAATGGTTGTCACTAGGCTTGTGCGAATAGTGATTTTTAGGTTCGAAGCGAATTCAAAGCAATATTGATTTTGGTCGAATAATTTCGCGTCGAACTTGAATAGTATATATGGCATATAAAGAAAAATGGGCGTATTTATTATGACCTAAGTAACCTAAACATTACCTTTTTAATTGAAATAGAGCCTCTATGCAAATGCCTCTTTTTTTTTTTTTGTTCAAGGGAAATCTTAACAGCTTTGAGTAGTAGCAGGATTTGACTTTCGGTACGATGCGAGTGCTGAAGAGGTGGTCATCTCCACAGCTCTCACTTACACAAAACATAGGTTCATTCTGAGTGACTCACAGGTCGCGATTAGAAATTTTACGTGCGGACGTATCTCGCAATGTTCCCCGAAAATTCAAGCGAGGAGCCAGAAACTGATGGATTGGGAGGAACGAAAATATCTAATATCGTTCCCGGTACACACAAACATAGCTACCTACAAGCCGGACGAGATGGTCCAAGCGCTGTCGCGAGATTCAACCCGCCGCGCAGCTCAATTGGTGTATACCCTCGTCGGGAGATGCTGCTGCCAAAATCGAGCATTTATTACCAAGACTGAATCGCCAGCTATGCAGAACACACCAAATATTATCGTGACTTGAGGCAGAGTTTCCCTCCACTTCACCCAAAATTTGATCGAAAGCGGGTGACAGATTGGCGCAAATTGCAAACCGATTCTTTTCCCAGTCCTGCTTAGCTATGCGCAGAATGTTTCCAGAAATTTACCCATACTCGATAGGAAAAGCTTGTAAAATAGAAGCAGCCTCCCTTATCCACAGAGGTGTCCCAAGAAGCAAACAGATTACCCGTAACATCACCGGGAGCGATGGCGCACAACGCTGCTGAGCTCTAATTTAGAAGATCAACCATGGACTATCCAGCTGACCAGGGAGGCTACTGGTAGACAAGTTCTTTCATCCTCCATCTGAGTGGTCTATAGCCCTGACCATAAACTAGCTAGATCTCGAAATAAAGTTGTTTCATTCATTCTGGGAACATATGCCGTCGCAATATGCCTTTAGGCTTGATAAAACAATGAATTAATTTCAGAGTATTATGTTCATTTAAAAGCGCTTTACAACACTCTTTTCAAGTACCCATTGAATGGATTCACTAAAGAAGCTTATTGCCTCCCTAAGTCATGGCCGCAATTTTTTTTTTTTCAAGAGTATGAGCGGAGGTGCAAAGATTTGTAGCACGCTGGGATTGCGTTGTCTCTTGTCGTCCCTATATGAAAGCGCTGGACGCTAATCAGGGAGGTATATAGCACGGGTAAAGAAAAAAAATCATGCGCGCCTCGTGACCTCGAGCCCTTTTCTCTTTCTTTTCCTTTAAATACGCGGCTTTTCAGTGCGATCGCGCACGTACGCATGGATAAGTTGCGGCCTCCCGCGGCGGCCCCAGTAACGGCAGAGCGTTCCATGCTCAAATCAGCCAATGGCTGATACAATGGCTGTGACGAGAGATTTTTGCGCTTGTGACGTCATTTGCCGTGAGAAGAGGGCAATTTTTAGCTGACTATGAGAATTTATTGGAAATTGGAGGCCGGCGTGCTGCGCTATAATATTTGACTCGCGTGTTCTCGGTAGCCTCTACTGCCGATCGGCAGCGTTTTCGGACCATACTCGAGAAGTGTTCCAGGGCCCCTTCAAATTTGAAGCGGTGCTTTGCGGCACAGCGGATTTCCCCTGATTACGTTCTTTCGCGGCTTAGGACTTATGCACTGCAGTGAAATCATTTTTACAAGTGGTTACGTGCGGATTAATATACTCCTATTCGTTCCTTGCGAATACTTCGAAATTTTCGATAATTTAATTTCGAATCTAAGCGAATTCGAATACTCTACTATTCGTTCAAATATTCGAAGCATTCAATTATTCGCACATGCCTAGTTGTCACCTACTTTTTTTCTCACATACAAATATGAAAACATTGTAACTCCCCGCCGCGGTGGTCTAGTGGCTAAGGTACTCGGCTGCTGACCCACAGGTCGCGGGATCGAATCCCGGCTGCGGCGGCTGCATTTCCGATGGAGACGGAAATGTTGTAGGCCCGTGTGCTCAGATTTGGGTGCACGTTAAAGAACACCAGGTGGTCGAAATTTCCGGAGCCCTCCACTACGGCGTCTCTCATAATCAAATGGTGGTTTTGGGACGTTAAACCCCACATATCAATCAATCAATCAAAACATTGTAAGTAACAAATGTTGCTCACTGATGGCGTATGACGTTGCTCCTGCCGTACTCTATCGTGATGACGTCGCCAAGCTGCCAGTGCTTACAGATGCGCTCAGGGATGGTGACTTACCGGACTGTTACAGACTGACGTATGATTGACAGGTGCAAAGGTGAATGGTTTGTTGTCTTTGCAAAATGCGACTACTTCTTTTGTTTCTTTAATCGTGACGTTCCATCCCTCGACACGTGTGCGAAAGATGGATGACAGCTGGATCTTTATATATGGACGGGCGGTGCCCGATGCAGTCTGTTTTATATAATCATTAGCTTGTATTGTTTGCGACAGTTAATGTACGGTTTCGTACATTAACTGTGATCTTGATCTAACTGTGATGCGTGATCTCCCGGTCATCTGCAACTACGGAGGATCCGTACTCTGCACTGTGGGGGTTGAACTGGTTGTACCGGTAAAAGGTTTGCATTGTGATTGATCCTTGTACTGTGACGGGAAAAGGTTTTTCGTGGTCACATACCGATGGCTTTCAGATAGATGGTTCCGCGGAGTAGTTTGAACCGTTTGTGTACATTGGCGATAATTTGTGGCATACGATTTGGCACGTACAAAAAAATGTTTTCGCGTGTAGGAATGCCGCTCTTATATAAGACACAACGCTATCGCCCTTGCATTGGCTTTCTATAACTTAACGTCATTATTTCGAGTTATTTTACATTCGCAATTAGAGGTAAACATGCACCGTTGGTTCTTGCACCGTTGGTAAAGTAAAACATGCACCGTTGGTAAAGTTGTTTCTTTGCAGCTCTGTCGGCTTTTGAATGCTGTTGGCATTGGAATGCCGTTTTTCTGGCTTATAGTGTCGCAATAGTTTGATATCGTCAGAAGAATATGTACTAGTCTACTAGTACAATGCAAGCTGACGTCTATGTTCAGCTCTCTTTTAAAAGCCTCGCGTTTTAATATCCAGTTCTCTAGGTGTCGTATCGACCCTGGGAAATCGCTCGCTGCTGGCATAATGTTCTTTATCGGATGTCAAGGCAGCTTCTATAGATAAGACGCCCTTGGAGACAAGCTGGCGATCCGTATTTGCGTGCTCCGCCAGACACAGTGGGGAGTGACAGTGCAGCCGAAAAGATTAGCACGTCTGAGTTACACGGACTTTGCATTTGCAACTTTAGTCAACGTAAAGTCGACGTGGCTCGACTTCTTTCTGACTACTTTTCTTCTTTATTTTTTTATTTTAGTCGGTCTTCTTACCTCATGGCATCTTCGCTTTCTTGTCCTTTTTCAGAGGCATCGATGAGAGTGGTCGTGGATAGGCTTGGACATTCCCTTGGGTGAGTTGCGGTGCTCTTTGTCACCCCCCTCCCCCCACCTTTTTTTTAAAATTTGCTTTTCGAAGTAAAGGCGGAAGTTTATGAAAGTCCTTCCCAACGAAGAAACCTACATTGTTACATGGATTAAGTGCCTCTCTGGAACTATTTTGTTGGGTATGAATAAGTTTCAAGGTTATTTACACATGCAGTTCTCAGTGCATCGCCCCCCGCGATGGTCTAGTGGCTGAGGCACTCGGCTGCTGACCCGCAGGTCGCGGGTTCTAGTCCCGGACGCTGTGGCCGCATTTTCAATGTAGGCGAAAATGCTTGATGTCCGTGTGCATAGATTTAGGTGCGCGTTAAAGAACCTCGGGTGGTCGAAAATTCCGGAGCCCTCCACTATACGGCGTCTCTCTGAGACGTTTAAGTCCAACAATTATTAAAATTAATTCTCTGCGTATCCTTCTCGGTATCGATGCTGTTATGAGAGCGACTCATTTTTGATGCGCCGTTCTTTGGGCCCTCCCTGAGTCCTTGAGAGGCAGTCATTCCGGGTATTGTTTCACCGTTTTTGTGTATTTCATACACTGTAATCTTTTTTTTTACTTATCACCCGTGCGTTTCACGCCGTACTCATGATTCAACAGTTACGTGCTTTTGTTTACTTTTAGTACTGTAGTATTTTAGGTCATTTTACAGCAATTTTACGCTATCATTCATCATACCAGGGCCGTACCCAGGAATGTTTTTTTTTTTCGTGGAGGGGGGGTGGTGGTAATTGGCAGAATGGCTAACTTTGGCAATTGGTGGTGGATGTGACAAGGAGTACATACTTCAGTATCACCCTAGAAGTTGGAGCATACAAAAAAAATTCTGGGGGCATCAAAACCTCCCCAACTCCCCCTGAAGCTACAGCCCTGGATCGCACCCGTTGTCTTGTCTTGCCGATATTTAGTCTTCACTGGCCCTTGAAAACACGTCATACATCATCGTCATGTATAAGTGTCATCATAAGTTACTGCACGTATGTACATATGTGTGAGCACGTATGAACGTAACCTTTATTACCTCACGATCCGCGGTCATCCCGCGTGATAAACAGAAACACCGCAGTGGTAACGTAGCGGATGCAGCGTTTCGCAGCTGTGCACGAGGACGTGGGTTCGATAACCAGGTGATGAGATTGTACACTGCGACCGAAGTGCAAAAGCGTGATGGCCGTGTCTCACCAAAGGGGCAGACCTCGTAATCATATTGTACTTTCTGTATTAACAACAACAACAACAACAACAACAACAACAACAACAACAACAACAACAACAACAACAACAACAACAGACGTGCAGCTTTGCGAATTTTTCCGACAGCAATCGCATTAATTTGGTTTCATGTGTGTCGTATCAATTTAGCTCACTGTCCGTGAAAAATGTGTGTGCGCGCGTGTGCTTATTGGTAATAGGCAGTCGATACTTCGTTTATTACTTGTATTAGTTTTTTGACTGCGTATTGGGATCGCCGGCCTGAACGTAGGCCTACCTTTCCGCCTCTGCGTCATTATTGAACAGAAACAACACAATCTGTCAAGATATTTCCATCTTGAGTATATTTAGACAAAAATTGCACGAAAAAGCTTTCGATTGAAAGGAATCCGCCTCCGACGTATCGAAAGACTGTCTCCTCCCCATTTATTGCAAATACGCCTTCTGAAATTTCGCTCCTCAGAGGTGCGCTGAGCTCAGTTGTCGGACATTAAAGCCGCAGGGAAAAGCCAGCTTGTCAGTAAAGTCAAGCGCAAGAGCGCATATTAGTTCAGCGTAACTTAACGGGTGTGATGCCTACAAGGGGGCATTTGCCACCTAAAAGTCGTTATATAACATATTAAATCCAGCTTTTCGGTTCGCTGCTGTTGTTAGCGCCTGTGTGGCTTATTTTTGTTTGGAAGCAGCTGCCCAGATGGCGCGCGCAGCGACGCAGTGCTTTGCGCTCGTGTAAGCATTTAGCGCGCACGTGTTAGTGTTCCCACGCTATCGTACAGCTCGTTTTTTTTTTTTTTTTTGCCGGCATTTCATTCATCTTTATGTTGTCCTTCGAGCTCTTTCAAAGACTTTGTCGTTATACCATTTCAAACGTGTCATCTCCATATTATTTATGCATGCTCGTTAAGTTGAGAACTAACATTCGAGGGCTTGTATTGAAGAGAAGCACTCAACATGCACTGTGCTTTTGTTAAATCTTTAGTACGCATTAGTAGGAGTTAAGCGTGCAAAATTAACAAGAGTAAGGTCGTACTCTGTGGGCAGACACGGGGGTTGCTCGTGGCTGGTGCACCGTATTTGCTTGTTTAATGCGAAAGCTGCTCGCATACGTTAGGCAGTTACGGCTGTCAAGGCAACTCTCAAATGCATCGAATGGGCTGCTAAAATTCCCTCGTAATCTTTCTCGTAACGGATACCTTACAAATGCGCCGGGTATACCTTTTTATAGCGAGGGACCTCGTACGACTCCCATCTCCTATTCAAATCTTACGCCCGGTGCATAGTTTATTCGCACATCAAAGCACACGCGTCCGTAAGGGGGCGTTGGTGTGGTATATGTGTGTCGTCGCCGCGGCGCTATTTGCGATTGCCGGCGCTATGGTTATGGCTGATTGATTGTTTATGCGGCGTACTCATCTTCACACCTGACCGCGCGCACGCCGTGTGGTCAACTATGCAGACAAGTACAACCCTACTGACAGATCCAAGGGATGGGGCCATCGCCCCCCCCCTCCTCCACCGCAAAGCCTATGTCAGCGCACCCCCCTCTCTCTCTCCCGTCGTCAGTGCATGTCGTACACCTCCTATCACCAACTAGGACGAATGAGTAAAATTATTGTTAGCACAAATTAACAGTAGTTATACTGTGATTAAGTTTTTGTGTCAACAAAGAAAAAGTAAGGCCTCCACAGGCCCCTCTCCGGTGTTACTTCAAGCGACCCCCCCCCCCCCCCCCATCACCCCGTAGAGTGAGTGTCTGTGTCCGGTTCTACGCATAAACAACTTACGAATTCGTAAACGAAAAACGCCGCAGACTGACCGCTCGCGGCGTGGACGTGTTGACGTCGCGTGTTCCGTAAGCTCTCCCCACTACTTCAAAAGATCCCATTTACTCCGTTCCCTGCGCGTGTAAGTTCCCCGGCAACGCCCAGGAGCACTGCGTGGCGCCACCTATTTGAGCGCAGTCATTTACTACGCGGAAGCTCGCCTCCGACGGTTGTCCCGAGAGGGCGTTTTTAACGGCGACCACTTAGTGGTGCCCCGCGTACAACGCCACTCGCGTCAGCCCTCGGTGAAAGGCTCGAACCGCGGATTATTTGTTATGTGCGAGGTTGTTTCTTTCGCTGGGCCAGAGGTCACTCTTCCGCCCTCTCTCTCCGCTCGCAAGGGCGGAAGTTGAAATGGATTCTTTGCACGACATCGCGGGTGGAAGCACGCTTTTACCGCTGCAGTGGCCTTTCTGCATAATGAACGATGCGGTGTGTGTGTATATATATGCACACATGGCCGTGCATGTATATACGAATGGCCCCACGGCCTTTGTGTTTAGACTTCTCTGTACGACACGTAGGCATAACCGCGAAGTGAACCTTCCTGGCTGCGCGGTCTTAAGGATAACGTTGGCCTTGGTTTTGCAAGACCGGCGTTCGGCTGGGGTCTCCGTTATATGTATCTCGAAGTATTCGGCATCAACACTAATTGTGCGAGCCGTTCGGCTCGCCCATCGCGCGTAAGGAAGCACGCTTGCTCGCATTGAGAGCAACCTCGCGTGCCGTAAACGACTAGAGCTTCGTTGAGCCACACCGAGTGGTGGGTGCACGCGTGGTGCATTGCGCGCTTGACGAGTTGTGTATAGGTCGTTACGTATGCCGCATGGACGCCCGGTCGAACGTGTCGTGGGATCCTAATGCGTTGTGGAGAGGGAATCCGTAGTAACATTGCAAGGGTAGCGCGCGCTCTTAGCTTTGTTACGCAAGTGGAGTTCTGGGGATACGTGTGCTTTCGCAGTGTGGCTTGCGCGCTTTCTGACCTCTCACGCCGCAAGCGAAGGGAAAGAAAGGCTCACTGGGATTCGGGAGTCTCGCCCCGCCCCCGCATAGCGTCGAATTCCGTATCCACCACTAACAGCACTTCGTCTTATGTAGACCGCTGTAACAGCGTTATACTTCGGGCTATATAAGGTGCCAAACTGAGTTCGCTAAAGAGCGGAATTCGGAGTAAACTTAGGTTAAATCTTTTTGTCAGCGACGTCGTGTCTATATCTATTTGAGATTGTTGAGCAGAGCAATCGAATTACGTGCTGACAACTCCAGCAATTGAACGATACGCGCATGATAGTCCTTGCGAGACGATGCTCGCGCGATTGGTCGGTGTAGCCCGTGACGTCAGGTAAGGCCAACCTTCTTCTCCATCCGGGCGATTCGCATACGCTTCTTTCTAGGCGAGCATCGTAAAAGTGCTTTGGCCAACGTTACTAGCAGGGCCGTACCCAGGAATTTTTTTCGGGGGGGGGGGGGGGGGGGTTGCGTGTAGAACGGCTGCCATTTTTTAAGATTTATACTGGCTTATTTTCGTAAATAAAACAAGTACATCGCTTACTTGTAATAATTCGATGGTACTTTTCAATTATTTGTACCCAAATAAATAAATTGGTATGTCAACCTCAAATTCTGGTTAAAGCAAGAAATAAGTTTGGACAATAGCACCACCAAAGCCGGGGACACCGCGACCAACGGCTCCTGATGAAGTAACACAATGTAACCGCGGTACAAAAACGGTATGTATGTGTTACAAGCTGCCACTCTAGCGTCGCCAGCGCGAAGTCGGCGACGGGAATGGCAGCAGGTTAGGTCGTTCCGTACGTAAGCAGAGACAGTGAAGAGATCAGAGACGTATGTGGGGAAAAACAAAACTCTAGTGATATTGCAGCACTGCAGAGGAATCTAGGAATATTGCAGAGGAATCTAGTACAACACTTAATACCAA